ACACAGTTCTTGAATCGTGGACACAAGGCTTTAGAATGACTTTGAGAATCTGGCCCCCGAGACGCACCTGCGACGTCGGGATGCTGCAGGAGCATGTCCAGCTCCTCCTTCACGACGACCAGTCGCAGCTTGTCGCTGCTGTCGATTATGAAGATGATCCCGTGGCAATCTTTGTAATAATGCTCCCACAGGGATCTGTGACGGTCGTGACCCGACATGTCGAACGCGGTGAAATTGACATTTTTAACTGAAACAACAGCCTCGACTTAATTGCATCTCGAGCGACAGCAATGGTGCCGACGTTACGCGCGAATTACACGAATCGTTTCTCGCTGGATTACAAGTGATTAATTTAATAGGGCAGAAAGGGAAGTTGATTGTTCTCTCGATTCAACGAAATAATGGCCAGGCGTCGTGAATCCCGCTGAATAATTTGCCGCTCGGTGAAATCGTCTACGGCGTTTGGAAGAGAAGCGACTGGGCGCCAGTCAATCCGTGGGAATCCAGAAACGTGCAGAACTGACTTGTTAATTTCTTAATCACCGATTAACCGGGAGCCTCGCCGGCGATCTCCAGTCGGTTAGGGCCCGGTTTCACCATGGCGAGTTAATCTAATCGGTCCGTTAACTTAACAGGGTGCCAACATAAAACTTCTTTATTAACCTATTTTCTTGGTTAATAAAGAAGTTTTATGTTGGCACCCTGTTAAGTTAACCGACCGATTAGATTAACTCGCCTTGGTGAAACCGGGCCTAGGTCTATCGGAATTCGACGAAAGCCGCCTTTGAAGGGAACGGCGGAGACGTCACACGCGCCATCTAGAGGTACCGTTTGTCAAGACAAGTCGGAGCAGTCGAGGGGTGAAAACAATTGAGAACCGTCGAGAGTAAATTTTGGCGGGCGCCCGTTCGATTTCGTTATCACGACGTGAGCGAGAATGCAGAAGCGTGGCAGTGTCTCCAAAGGCGAGAATAGGACCGTTCGGCCGACGAGCGAAGGTGCGCGAGTTGCCTGTCAAATCATAAACAAAAACCTAACCCCACCGGTGGCGACGCGAGGTTAACCGAATTTACCGGTTTCCAGGGGCGGCGGCGGTCACGGAAAAGGAGAGGCTGCTGCGAGAGGTACAGGAGCTGAGATGCATTATCAAGCAGTGCGAGTGGAGTCTGCAGACGGTGCGCTTCAAGGACGTGAAGCAACGCGTGACCGACAGGGTCCTGCGAGACCTGGTGGCCCCCCCGCGCCTCGGCAGGATGCCGAACGTCGACGTCGATCTGCAGAGCGATCTGTACAGGTTCGCCGGCTTCCGCTGCATCAAGTTCCAGAGGAACGAGCTCGTGTTCAGCTTCACGTCGACGAACGGGGAGCAGAGGGACAACGCTCACGCGGTGCAGATCTTCGTCAAGGACGGGAAGGGCAATCTGGGCAAGTGGGTGATGCCGATGTCGATCGACATGAACGATATATTGTCCGAGACGCCTATCGACCAATTGAAAAATGTGACCGCCTTTATAAAGAACTGCAAGCACAACGCCGACTGCTACGCTGTGCGGCGGGAGCAGTTTCTGTCGCTGAAGGTATTGAGCCTGTGTCACACTGTGGATCGAGGATCGCATCTCAGCCAGCCGGTCGAGACAGCCTTCGTGTCCGATCGGTTGAATTGCGATTCGCAATACGTAGTGGACTTCAGGGTCTATCCAGACGAACTTGCACAGCTCGTACAGATATGCGCAAGGAATCTAAATTAAACCATAAATGCACGCATTAGGAAATGGATCAATTTTTTTATGCACATGTACCTGTGCAAGTTTGTCTGGGTAGACTCTTGTGTGCTGTTGTCGCGCGAAGGTTGGCCTGTTCTTTATAGTCGAACTAGCAGCACTAGTTCAGGGTTCGCTCTCTCCATATTGTGCAGCCAGTTTCGGTATAAAGACGTGCCAGATTGATTGACAAACGGCGCAAATTTACCGTCAAACTGCGATACTATTGAACAAATAAATGTTTGTCTCCTTAGGAATCTACCTCGCGTATGAAGCATTGCACTCTACAGTCCGACATGGGATTCAAGCAACTCAGCTTGGAACTGTGCGGCGTGCACGACATCGAAAGTGACAGCTATATAAATGTAATAATATACCTGTTGTATCACTCCGACAAAGCGAGACCTCACAAAATTGATGTTGACTCAACGAACGGAAGGAAGTTGAGCGACGATACAAGACAGAGATTAAAGGCATGCCTGAAGGAGTTCAAAATATCGGACTTACAAACTGCATTTGACAAGGTCCTAGAAGACAATTCTACATTTACATGGGTGCAGACGGAGGACAGTGAAAGTCCATTGGAGTTGAATGTACGGCGTTTAAATGCGTTAAGTATTGCGAAGATTGCAGCTTGTGATTAAAAGGTGTTTTATCTGTAATTTTACTTTCAGGACACTAGCATCTCTGACGAAGAAAGCTTCTTGACTAAACTGCAGTCAGATCGAAAGAGAGCGTCGAGAAGGCTGAAGAGAAAAAGTGAATTGCAAAAGAAGTGGAATAAGAGGAAAAGGCAGAAAAACGTTGCAAATATTAAATCGTCGGAAGACGATCAAGAGGACAGTCGCTCAAGAGCGGAAGTGTCGCGCGCTGAAAGTCAACGGCGAGTTCCGATGAGGGGGAAGGAAACGAAGAAGGCTACGTTCATCTCGAAACGAAGGAAGTCTAATAAAACTCTGCTGGAAGAAGCAACGCCGGTGCACAAATCTAAAGTTTTGAAGCAGACAAAATTAAATTTCCAAGCTCGTGAGGCTACGAATTCTAACGCGAACGAATCTTTCTTTGAATCAAAACTGTGTAGCAGACCTGACGGTCCGAGCAAACGGCCCATGACCGCCGAGGTATTCGCTACGAGCGGCAAACCATTCACCAGCACTCCATTACGCGTCAACCTAACAAGGCTACCCTTGTCACCTAATCTAGAGAATAATGATCTTACATCTATTGAAACGACCAAGAAAACGGCAAATAAATTAGGTAACTCTAAGAATGGTCGGCCAGGCAATAAGCAGACTCCAGAGAGAAGTGATCGGTCATTACCGCATAGCGCCAAGACCACTAGATTATCTTCACGGATCTCGAGGACAAAACGCCTTACGAGAAGTATGATAAGCAATTAAGGCAGTAAAACAAATGACATAAGATACATAAATATATCGTCGGAAGACTATCAAGAGGACAGTCACTCGAAAGCGAGAGATTCGCGCACTGAAGGTCCACGGCGAGTCTCGATAACGGAGAGGAAAACGGAGAAGGCTGCGTTTATCTCGAAACAAAGGGACATTAATAAAGATCTGCCGGGAGTGAAACAGATGGTGTAAGATATGTAAATATATGTAGGAGAGATATATGTACTTTTTTGTGCGTTCGTACATATTTGTACATTAATTTCTTATCGCGTCGTTCCCTAAGTTGTACCTCGTAAAATAAGCGGACGATGCTGTGCGATTTTGCGATTGTGCAGGTGCGATATAGCGAACGCGTGAGGGTAGCGGTTGAAAAGCAACGGGCTCTCACAGTTTCGACACGTCTGTCGCGCCACGCTGTTTGACTTACATGCGAATTTCTCGACATTAAACCCGACAGTGGGCACTATGTCTATGCAACGGTCATCCTCGCGTTTGAAATTATTTATGACCGTCGACTTACCACTGTTGTTAAGGCCCACTACTAAAACGTTTACTTCCTTTTTCCTAAGACCTAAGAGATTCGCTAAGCGATCGAATAACCCCATTTTCTCGCTCGGCGCGCTGCAAAGGCCTCCCTCACATTTATCGGACATCAATAATCATTTCCACCCCCTCCTTCCTGTTCGCGTTATCACCCGCGGGCTAGAGTGGGGCTGGGATATCCCGCGCCAAGAGATCCACGTTGAGAATCACTGGCGTGTCCCGCTGTCAGCTAGAGACAAGCGACAAGGTTCTCTCGTTAGCTTAATCCCATTTTCTGTACATTTTACATCATAAATTCCCTTAAGGAAATTATTAAAATTAAACTATACAATACTACAATTAATATTTTCACCTGGCAAGGTGGTGGCCATTATATTGCTTTGTGACTTGTAAACTATACAATGTTCAGATTCTCAAGAAAAGAAATGTCAAGTTTATTCTTTTTAACTGAACTAGCTGCACTACCTAAGTAGAACATGTTTTGTGACGTCATTAGGACATCGCAATGTTGTAAAAATGATCTTGTTTTACAAAGCAAAGTTGATTAAATATAAACATCGTGTAATCTGTAATAATATATTATTGTACGCGTCACGAATATCATAACCACGTCGTAAATCGGTCATTGCAAGGTAAATCTTGATGTCGATCATTTTATAACGTAAGACTCGTCATTTTAATGTCGCGTTGATGTTTTTGTGATGATTTAACTCTCGTTCTACTTGGGTAGTTGAGTTGAAAAGAACAGACCCACAGAAAACGCAACTAGACAAATACATTCAGTACGGGAAGGGATTTTCAGGCTTCTCTCTGGTGGCACAGTATACTAGGCCCCTTGATTTGTCGTAAGATTCAACGTTTTTATTTTTCACACTTAACAATGCCAATGAAGCGCACAATTAATGTGCGAGTACGGTACATAAAAGCACGCGTGTGCAAAATGCGAGCTAGAATCAGGTAGAATCGACAACCGCGTCGCGTGCGGTTGGCTTCTGGCCACACGAGCTCCTTCCCGCTTTCCCATTTTCCAGTTCCCGTCCCACTGAGGGAACCTGCTTGCACCAATTACCCCCACGAGGAGGAGTTGAAACAAGAGGAGGAAGAACAACTGCCATTGCTTACATCATGCTTGTGCAGATTCTTAACCACTCTGTTCGGAGTAATATTGAAAGTAAGCCTGACACTGATTGGAGTAATCGATCCTGGAAAGCAGCCGCTGGCGCAACGACAATTCAGAAGCTATTAAAATATTATGGACGACGAGCTTGAAGATCGAGTTTTGTATCAGGTGAAATAATACTACGTAAAAAAAAGGTTTAAAAACCGCAAAATTCTCCTCTGGTGCGGCACATTTTAAGATAACGGCGCATATTTTATCAGTTCAACTGAAACTTGTTCTCTGCGCGCGTGTGTAGCGAGAATGCTGTAGAAATCAATTGTTCAAGATGGGATTTCTTTTTCTATCGAAGGTAGAAAAAGAGGCCGATCAAACGAATACCGTGTTTTCCCTATTCTTCATCACACAATATGAATTTCGTGTTTGACAAGTACAAATATCAATTGGCATGTCTTGTTTAATTCCGAATGACGCAAGTACAGATTTCAATTTGAGGTGTGAAAGTATTAAATATTAAAACTTTGTTAGCTATTTATTTATATAGCTAGTAAGAAAGTGAAAATTGCATTCGTCTAAATTCTTGTTAAGAAAACGGAGCTTTCCGCCAGCTGTATTTCTAAATAAATACTTTATCGTTATGTAATTCCCATCTTTTCAGGCGCACTGTATCTTGTGTGCGGTGAACCTTGTTTTTTAAATTACGTACAAGCTGATGCGAGCTGTTCCCTGTATATAAAAATGTAAACTGTTTGTGTACAGACATATGTATCACACATGAAGCTCGTGTCCAAGTTTGCTCCCTACTGGAGCGTCCCTACCGGACTAAATGCTGGGATTAACACTCCATTGAACTATCTCTGCAGAATTATGCGGATTTACGCTCTAAAGCCGGAGGTGCTGGTCTGCGGCATGATTCTGGCAATTGTTCTGTTTTACATACAAGCTGTAGATGTCTGGAGCAGAGCGCTTCTAGGAAAAATTCAATACACTCTGGGACGCACCACGTCTAAGGTGCATATATATTTTACGGGTGCATTTAATTAAAATTAAGTCTTTTGATATTCAATTACAATAGTCTCTAATTGACAATAAGAGTTTAAAGTTTTTATCCAATTGTAAACTAAGGCCACGTTGAGATCATTCATATGAAAGTTGTGTCTTTCCTTTTTCCTCTTTATGTTACATGATTTATCTTTTTGTCCGTATCGTCTGCAGGTGTCTACACTGAAATTTTTAGTTAACGATTCAGTGCACGCTGGAGTGAAACTTAATTGGGAATTAAAGCAAGATCACATTGCGGCATATGCTGTGCAGGGACATAGAGCTCGGATGGAGGATCGTTTTGTGGTAAACGATGACATGAATAATACTGGAGTCTCCTTATTTGCGATATTTGATGGCCATGGTGGTGAGGTATCGATTAAATTATTTATTGCGTTATTTTTTATCTTTAATATCTCTCAAAGGACATTGCGCAAAGACGGATTGATTTATGCGCTTATTCACAAATTTTTCAACTTGGATGTAAACATTCAATACATTTCACTTTGTACATATGTATAACTTTAGCTGCCCAGTAATGTCTAAGTATATAGTTTTAAGAAAAAACTTTAAGATAATTAAATTAAAAATAATTATTTTCTCGTACTAACTTTGATAATAATTAATAATAAATTTAATAATCCTTGAGAAAAAGTAAGCTACAACTGAAAACAAATCTAATTTGTTTCAATCCTGTTATTTCTTTTCAGTTTGCTGCCAATTATGCTCGCGATAAGCTTATCTCTAATATTAACGAAAAAGTTGTTGAATTGAAAAACCTACTGGCTGGCAAGGCACCCGCTTATCCGCAGAATGAGCGGGTCTTAAAAGAACCGGAGAAAAAGAAAAGCGACAATAAAAGAGACGACAAAGTTCCAGATCGAAGAAAATCTTTTCGAAAAGTCGCAAGTACATCCTTGACGGATGATTGCATGAAGAAAGCTATTGAAGTGACTGATCCAGAATTACTCGATAAACTGGACAGCATAACGCCCATTACGAGAGAGGTAAGAATATGGTATAAACAATTAACACATAATACGCTAAACATACGTAAAATTATTGTATTAGTGGCACACCCATAGTTACTTAGAAAGTATCGTTTATTATGTTTTTTTACTGCTACTCTTGTTTGTTCATAGGTCAGACCATGTAGACCAGGTGAGAAACAAGTACCCAAAGTGAACATGATGAATTATATTGAAGGGAATAAAATCAATTATGGCAGGCTTCTAACGGATGAAGTTCTAGCAGCGGATAGATTATTGGTGGAAACTGCTAAGAAGAATATGGATGTAGCTGGTATTTATCTTTATTCTCCTAATAAGTAAAAATCTTTACATCTTACTCATTGTCAGTTTGAATCAAACGATCCACGCCGATGGATTGAGGAAAGATAGTGAAATATAAATACCTATATACGTGTCTAATCAGAAAGAAAGGATCAGATATTTTAGAAACTGAATTAGATAGTTTTCTCTTTACATTACTTTCTACTGCGAAAGAAAAGGATACCAAGATAATATCAAGATTACGTAAATATTTCCTTAATTAGAAATTAATTATAATATCGTTTTAAATGTTAAAATTTATGTATTTTGTTATAAGTTGGACAATTTATGACTGAAAGTCATTTAAAATCAAACAAAAGGAGTTGGAATGAAATTGTTAATTTTGCATTCTTCTCAAAGTAAATAGCAAATTTCACAGGTTTCTTTTTAGTAAATAAGAAACGCACGACACTTGTGAAATGTGAAATATGAGATGCACAAAGAATCTTTTGAAACTTTAACTTCCGAAAATGCAAAATATTTGAAAGAAGTCGTCTTTTATTGTTCTATGTGTTGGCTTCACATTCATTTTATTGTTTATAGTTTATCATTGATGCCAATTCTTTGTCATGTACTATTATCTCGTTTCAGGTACAACTGCTTTAATCGCTCTTTTGGAAGACAATAAGTTGATCGTAGCGAACGTTGGAGACTCCAGAGGAGTAATGTGTGATGAAAGGGGCAATGCTATTCCATTGTCTTTTGACCACAAGCCTCAACAAGTATTTATCGTTTTTCATATTTATTTAATATTATTTTAGCAAAATTTCAGCAGCAATGCAAGATGATTCAAATTTTATAAGAAAGAATTATTGCAAGAATTTGGACACGTTCAATATTGATGATATCAGATCATATATTGCTAGGAGAATCAGTAAATAAATTGATCAGATAATTTGAATATAGCTATGGAAAAACTTGCGAGCTCGTAAATTCCCTTCCTCCTTGCTCACATTACATACCTGATGCGATATATAAATTGTCATATTTAATGTCACGTCAATCATATTGAACCTACCTGTTTTCCAGGAAAGAGAAAGGAGAAGAATAAATAAAGCCGGTGGTTTGGTAACTTTTGACGGTGTATGGAGAGTCGCGGGCATATTAGCGACTTCTCGCGCCTTGGGAGATTATCCTCTAAAAGATAAAAAGCTAGTGATCGCTGATCCAGATATTTTAACATTCGATTTGAACGATCACAACCCCATGTTTATAATATTGGCATCCGATGGCCTATGGGATACGTTTTCGAATGAGGAGGCTGTGGCTTTCGTCAAAGAGCGTATCAATGAACCACATTTCGGTGCGAAAAGCATCACGCTACAGAGTTTTTACAGGTAAGATGCAGATTTACGTAAGTCAGTTTTTAAACAATTTTACACCGTTGTCCACTTGTGCTCTCTCATGTGAATTTTTTTACTAACAACTTGACGTCTCAACCACATCCAATTGTACCTTCGTGTCTCGTTAGAGCACATCTTTCCGTGCCATGATCACCACTTAAGATGTAAATTTAAAATTGTATTACAAAATTCATGCATATGTGTAACGTATCTGAAAACAGGATTGGGGATTTTAAAAGATGTGCAGGGTGCCTCGTACACAACATATAAAAAATATCTTGTCTCTTCTCTAAAACTTACGAAAGATGGCGAGAAAGTTCTTTCTGCATCTATAGTTTATTTATAGTTTGTTGGAGAGATTTTTTAAATAATTAAGTATTTCCAGACAAGGGGAGAAAAGAGCGATACTCTATTTTTCTATAGAATAATATCTCACTCTCGCTTTTTACTGTATAATAATGTTCAATAAGCTGATAATAGAGCAAAAATAGATCTTGAAATTAAAGAAGATTAACCATTAATGTGTTACTTTTATATTTTTTAGAGGCTCAGCGGACAACATCACGGTCGTTGTGATTAATTTAAAGGACCGCAAACTCAGCATATCTGAAGCCAAGAAGAACCAGTTATGATCTTGGCAACGAACAGTTTTTCATTTTTAAGTACCGAAAAAGTCTAGTCATAAAATGAATATAACTTGTTACACTCTAAATTAATTTATTGCCAAACTGCATAATGTCCGCAGATGATGATTTGTAGTATGTTTGTCAATACTACAAATGATGTTGAAATGATTTTAATAGAATATTATTCAAAGTAATTTTACAGATTTCTGAACTAAATGTATTATAAATAATAATCACTTGTTACAGACTATCAATAATTACTATTTACAATAACTGTAGATGCATTAATTTATAAAACTTCATTTTATTTGCAGCCGTACAACTTGCAATTTGTTACTGATTAGAAAAATGTAAGAAGGTTGTTCCGAAATCAGTAACGGCATTACAAGTATCTAACTATTTGTGTTTTAAGTGTCAGTTTACACTGACACTTATTCAACGATCAGATCAAACTGACGTCCGAAGAAAGATATTTTATGATTAGTATAACTTTGTTACAGCGGAATATATAAATTGTCTCTACTTTTCAAATAAAGTCATAATTGTTTTTACAAAGAGGATTTTTTTTGCGTTATTGTGTACCTGTAGAAAAGAATTGAGATAATCGTTAGTACATTTTCCCATGATTTTATCTCATTTTCATGGACGGAGCAGCGGACTGAAGTCGGAGAGAAGCCTGAGAGCGGCCACGCAGTAGGGTTTAGTTGGGACCGATTTTCGCCACCAAAAATTTTTAATTGCTCTTCGTTCTTTATATAAAGTCATGAACCCCCCGCTTTGTTTTTATGAGTACTGTAATCGTGTGGAAGAATTTTGCAATCTTATAAAGCCAATTTCAAATTGCTCGCCTTTAAAAAATTGAAAATTTCAAATATCAATATCTTTTTCATTAGACTTCTTACCTGAGTGTTTCAAAGTATGAAAATGTTCTGCTGTGCGGCCCGCAACTTATCCTGGTATTATTTTGTGCGTAAAAACTAATAAAAAGATTTACCAGCGCAAAAACTACATTCGAATGTGTCGGTAAAACAGATGACTTTAGGATCCCCGCACGGACGCCAAAAAGTGATATTTATCGACTGTGGCGATAAGTAGATGTGTCTCTGTAGTTCTTGCATCCACTTTTGGTGGCGAAAATCGGTCCCAAGTAAACCCTACGCCCCCTACGGCGTGGCCGTTCTCAGGTCTTCCCTCTGTGTATATGTATACAGAAATACGAAACAGGTGATATTTGTAATTGTAGGTAGACCGATTTGACCGAGAAAACGCTTTTCGTTCTTACGATACGAAGTAGAAGCCCGTGGAAGAAAAGGAGATGATACGAAACAAGCCACTGGTTTAACATGTCGCGCGCAACTCTCTTAAAGGGAACAATGCCGAAGCAGACAAGAGTGCCGGAGTTAAACAAATGCATTTTGTCTCGATTATGGTATACATCTCTCAATATTTTCCACGTGAACAACGACAGCGGCTTCTTGAAAGAATTCCATCACGCCTGCTGCGTCGACGTCGACTTGTCAGAATTGGAAACTGTAATTGAAAGCTTGACGTGAGTTGATGAGTTATACGTATTCGCAGTCAGTGCCACTGTTGGCTTCTATGTTTCACGACAATTTACGGTGTATGTAACACGATGCGTTTATAGGTATTCACCGAATGAAGAGCAGTACCAGTGGATCGCCTATGTTGTGCTGCGGAAACTTGTAGATAACAAATCGTCCAATGTCGATGTACAGTGCAATATTCGAGCGCAATTCGATTGCATACAAATAAAGAATGCGATCGAGCTGTGCGGTAATGCGCCAGACTGCTTGCACAAGGTAATCTTGGATAGAATTGATTTTTGTTATCGCTCAACCTTTATGACATCTCTCTTGTTTCTAAAAGCAAACGTTCCATTTTCCAGGAATCGCTACTACTTCTTCAACAAGTAATCAAGGAATGCGACAGAGAAGGTACCTCGAGTATTACGTTCCAACAGATCCTTACATTCCTGAGAGACAACATGTATGTCAATGTGGAAACCGTGTGCTGGATCATAAAGAAATTAATATCTATAGTTCCAAGCGCGAACGAGATCGCCGGCAATTTACAAGACATTTATTTTTCTACTCTGAAGTCATGCCTGGAACACATTCCAGCCAGAAGGAGTTGGCACTCGAATGATATGGCGATCGACTCCTCTTGTCAAACTGACTTGGCTACTCGCGGCAATTCTTTACAAGTGGTTCTACGCCTGTTGTCCCAAATAGACGTAGACACGGACACGCAAGTCGACTTTCTGAAAACAGTTTGCCCTACGCTTTCGAGGGCCCACCATATTAAAGATATTGAACTTGCGTTATATTCAAGGAAAAGTGAGAAGCTGCTGAACGAATGGCTTTCGCTTTGGAATAAGACGAGGCACGCGTGTCTCGAGAGCGCCACTACTCTACTCACGGCATATGAAATGAGCGAAGATCTATTTGAATTGACAGAAAACTCGGCAATTTCTTTGCGCAAACAGGATTTACTTGAAAGAACGTGTACAAGAAAGTCGCATTGGTTGGATGATATTTTGGTAAGTTTCGTCGCTAGTCTTAGCCTTATGGCTTTAATTGTCAATTAAATAAATTGTAAAAGCTGTTTGACAACTGACTGACAAACAGATATACGTGTTTATACTTGTGTCTTGAAAGTAATTACGTTTTGCATTGCAGGATATATGTTATATCTTGACTATGAAAAGAAAATACAACCAAGTCGAATTATTGCTTTCGCACGACTTATTAAAGAGATTATATCCAGTGTTATTGTTTAAAGCATTAAGTGATTGCGCGCAGGAAATAACCGATACTAGCGAAAGCTACGACAATGGTATTTTTATCTGTGAGTCCATCAGCTTCCTCTTAGAAAAGTGTTATCCTGATATACGCATCGACTATGATTTAAACCAATTATATACGCTCTTAAAAAGCCATATTAGAATTGCGGTATATATTTTACAGTGGAAGAAAAGGCAGTTTGTAAATACGAAATTAGATACCAAAGAATCGAAAAGTGCGCAATCCGAGGCGATTGAACAGACGGTGTCTGTAAAGCAGATTTTGTCTCTGTTGCAAAAGCACAATATACTTTTCGTCCTGAAACTCGCGACAAATATACACGATCAAGATCACAGTGACATCCAAGATTTGCTGAGGGAGACTTTTCCGAGCCAATCCGCGAGCTTCCATGCATACTGTTGCGTGATAAGCGCCTTGAAAGCCATTTTCTCGTGTGAGGTTTATAACGCGGAACCCAAACAAAGTGCTAAACATTTCGCTGACATGACGACGTACTTGGCCTCTTTGTTTCCTCTATCATTAAGGACAGAGACCATGGAGAGTATATTTTCCTTATTATTTTTACGTTATGAAGACTTCAGCGTTACAAATGCCAGTTACAAGGATGACGACTACGATATTCGTAAGTCGATAGAATCTGAAAAGTCAGGCTTCATAGCTAATAAATATGCTGTAAGAGATATGCTGTATTATTTGTGGAGGAGTACTTTAATTGTGACAGAGGAGATCGATAAATTACGAGTACTGGGACTGCACGAGGAGGCGCAACAACTTGGCGAAAATATATCCGCCTTTACGTCAACGTTGACAGATACTCGTTGGAGATTGAAATTCCACATGGGTCCTTATTTCACTGAAAATGTTGGCATTCCAGAGAATGAGTCTGATAGTCCCTCTGTTACGAATCAATCGGAATCCACGATCCCTCAAAAACCAAGTTTCCCACACCGCGTGAAGGGAGACACTTTTTTTTATACAAGAGACAGCGCTTCGGATGAAACTAAAGTTAAGTCTGACAGTAGTTCGGAATCTAGCCTGTTGGGCGGCAATAGACGCAGAAAGCGTTCCAAGATCGCTACAACGGCAGATTATTCGTCGACGAAAGACAAACTGTCCTTTGTTAATTTAATGCTGGCTTCGAAAGAAAGTTTGATTTTGCATTGTTTGTGGAAAGGCAACTTTCAGAAGGCACAAAAAGTAGTCGAGGTAATGTTGCAAACAATGTACAATATCTGTTTAATTTTTCTTTTCCTTCTGTGCTAGATTAGGTCTAGGTTGAACACACGTTTGATGCTGCGTAAAAAAGTACCACATATCAAATTATTAATGAAGTTGAATATAATCATGACGTTGAATGTAGCTACAATTAACAATTATACAATTGGTACAATCATTGTCCGGAAATACAAACATATCTCTCATTCATACGCCCAAGGAAATGTTTTTGTTTCTGTGTCGTAAGAGCTCTGACCGACGTACGAACAAACACTGATTTTTTTATCCTAAATTATATGCAATTAGCGGATAACGGATGCGCGAAATATTCATATATTTCTTATCGCAGCCTCAAGAGTCTTGTACGCATCGTATTCGTATTCAGTAGCCTCATATTTAACAGTAGCCTCATCTTTCACTTGTTTCCCCTTTCTTAAATCCTTGACAAAAATGCCAGGTGGATTCATCGCGTAGTATTGTTTGATAAATACGGTCCTTTTTCGCGGAAAACAAAATTTACAGCGGAAACAGCAGCAGCACCATCCTGAAATTTAATACAATTTTCGTATAATGATAATCCTTGCGAGAAGATATCCACTTCAGGAATAGCTGATGAAATTACCTCTTTGACACCAGCAGACAATTGCTAAGCAAATGTAGATTAATAACCAAACTCTGAGGACCAACCATGTCCTCGATAGGACCATCTTCGCAGCCGTTATGTCTTTTGTGCGCTGATAATCGTATAAAAGGCATTCTAACGCTTTAATCCCAATCTGACTTAATTCTTCCTTTGTACAGTTCTTGGGTCGTTTCAAATCCATTACTCTATTCAATGCTCGCCTCAGTGTATTCTTTGTCCCTTCTTTCTCGGTATAATTCAATACTTTCCCTTCCCTCACGTCGTCTTCCAGCTGCTGTTTGTATTCCATTTTAATTCTCTCGTAATCGTATGATTCTTTATCTTCGTAAGAATTATCGTCTGCAAGCGTAGATCTTTCCGAGTAGATCGAAGACTGTTTCAGAATACCGTTTGTCGCTTCACTCGTAATTCTCTCCTGGTCATATTCGTACACGTTATATTGTGTACGTGTCTCTGGCGTTTTCGCAAAGTATCCCGTCGTTTCTATTTCACTAGTTGTAACATTTCTATCTCTTATCACTTGGAAGAAATCCATCTCTTTGTTCAATGTTGTTTCATAATGGTTCGTTGTCTCTTCGCTTCGTTTTACTCTAACGCCTCTCACACTTTTGTCTGGTAATGGAAGACTTATTCTTTATTTCTTCTCTCTTCATTTCTTAATATTATACATATACTACGACGTGAATATGATTTATCATATTAATCTGTAATCGTATAAATTAATACCTAGAGCAACATTTGTTGTACCCTTTCTGTAATTTTGTAAACTTACAAAATGCTACGTACCTGTCTTTACAGAATGTTCAGTATGATTAGTTGTCTTGATTGATGATACATCAGCAGTCTTCTTCATGAAGAAATACTGGTTCAAAAGTATAGATTTAATTAAGTATAAAGAAAGCTTTCGCACCTTCCTTCGTCGAATAAAATATTTACCTTATCCAAGTTACGCTTAAAACCAGCAACAAATGGTTTGTTTTCTTGTTCCAAATCGAACGTTTCTTTCTGCGCGTGTGATCGTAAGTAGAGAAATATATCTGAATACTGGTTTGTCCTTTCGGCGTTACGCTCGTTGTAATGCTTTACATGAGAATGTAATGGTCCGTATCTGCCTTCGTCTTCTGCGAGAGGTTTCAAATCCGCGACATCTTCTGGCTGAATCATTTCATTTTCGCTCTCTTCGTCATAATTCGCATCATCCAGCGCAATTTCAAACACTTTTGTGTCTCGCATATCAATCTGCAAATAATTATTGAAATTTTCATCAGAAAATGTAATTTGAATTGTAGAAAGTACAGATAGAAACTTCAAGCTGTTTACTTAACTGCATGAGAAATTGTCTGCAAAACATGAATCTGAATCATTAGAAACGCAGCCGCTTTTCGATGTAACATTTTATGCTTTTTCTAACGCGTTCTCATTTAGATATATATATATATTTTTAATTCTGTTCCTTAGATGTTCCACATGGAAAACACCCAGTTAGATGGTGAGATTCGCTTTTCAGAAGCGCTTCACAAATTTAAGCAGAATACATGTAAACACATTTATGCTTTAGACACAACGGAGTCTTCTAAGGAAAGCTCAAGCACTTCCACGCTAGAGGTAAACTTTACACTTTATGTATATTCTTTGGCATATTGTACAGTATGATAAATCTTACCGTAATATAAGTTTTAGATGTAAGTATGTTACAATATGTTTTTAGAATATAAAATTTGCTGCACAAGAAGGTGTACAGTCCTCCAGATACATCAACCAACTTGAAACGTTTCTAGCGTCTCAACAACTACATTTACGAATGCTGGATACAAATATCCTACGTAGCGACCAAGTATTAACTCTTAGCGTCTTGGATCTAAGCTTGACTATAGGCGAAACATATCAGATCTCGAGTAATCTATGTGACGTAGCCATGAAGTATCTGAAGCTCTGTGAAGCGTTTGACAGCACAGGACACGCAAGTTTCTTCTCGAGAATCCATCGATTGTTTTACGAAAATAACAAGAGAAATGATACACCTGTGACCACGGTACTGTGTGACGCTAGAATTCCATTACACGTAAAGGAATGGAGAGAGAACGATGCCGTCTGGTGCGAATTTGAGAATAATTATCGCATGTTGTACGATCTCGAAAGAATTGTACGATCTTGCGACAATAATTATACCCTGGGTTTAAAAACGATTAAAAAAATATCTGATATTTTTAATAGTAAAAAATACCTTTACAACCTCTATTCTTACCTGCAGCTTGTATCGACTATTATTCCAGGTATTGATAAATTAATTTACCTCGATTTACCCTTTAAATTCTAATCGGACTTGTATTAATTTCATTATTATTACTTCATTTTCAGACGACACTAACGTACAAACGGTGTCTGATTTATTGAAGACGCCGTTACATCATTATTTTGGATATCAGATATTTGACTTGAACACGGAGCCAGATAAGCTCGAAAAGGTTGCTTTTAGTTTGCAAGTGAACTTGATGTACAGCATCCTTGTAAATGCATGTCCGAGTATTTCCTGCGATAACGAAAGAAACTGCAGCAACATCACGAATTCTGAATGCATTATACTGAATCAACAGCAAGAGAAATCAGTGCGTGGTTAATACACTTATTAAATGCACAACTTTTGTTTTTACTGTTCACAACATGTGGTAATATCGTCTTTTCACAGGGTATGAAAAGTGTCGCAGTTAAAGGACCGAATCAATGTGTCTCGGAAATATTGGCCGAGCTCCTACGGGTTCTGCGCAACGTAAGTTCGGGACGATCTCGTCTGGATAATTCGTGCTTGAGAAGCATCGCTGATCATGCGGACATACGGATGATTCTGAATAAGACATCGAGCCTCGCCGGTCTCGATCTCGGCGAGTTATCCGTAGGGGACGAAACGTTGACGTTCTTCTTGAACGTTTGGAACATCATGTTCCTTCATGCAAATTTGGATGTGTGGTCCAAAGAGCCGCCCCTCCAAAGTTTAAGGCACGCAATCTCCTTGACATCGATCGGTTATATGATTGGCGACTTGGGCTTGGTGACACTCGCCGCTCTCCGATCCAAGTTACTGGGTAGCCTCGCCAACGACTTAAAATTCTTCACAGAGGGTGTGGAGGAGCTTAACGAATTGGCATGGCAGGACTTGGACCTCGTACAGAATCCAAAAGTTATCTTCGCCATGGCTAATGAATTTTATGGCACGCCTGAGATTCGTGTAAGCTAACGCTCGAGTTATTATGCATCGATGGTAAGCGAATGGATATGATCAATGTACTCATGCACGTTGTAGGTGTACGAGACGCAGACATTGAACGATGCGTTGAATCGCGCGGCTCGCGATTATATCGCGTATTACTCATCGGTGTCGCCTGACGATAAGTCCGCAGACGGATCAAGGCCAAAACTCAGTTTGCCCGATCTTGTGAGGAGGTACCAAAATATGTTTTCACGAAATACTGATATTGATGCGACAAACGCCAGTAGGAATTTGCTTCCAATAGATGGTTTCGAAAAATTAAACGGAGATGTCGATGTGGAATACACAACGTCTAATTATACATACCAAGTGATATTAAAATATTCCGACCACAGTGTATCTAGCGTTACAACCACAAGTGTCGTACAAACATCACTTTGGCAGACTCGAAGACTAAGGCCTAGCTTATTGCAATATCTGGAAAGACACTGCTGGCTCCTCTCTTATCTCATACAGAGGATGCATAACGAGAGTCCGACTATTTTGGAGAACAATTACGATAATATAAAACGTACCGCGTGTCTTGAGAACCTTTTGAGTTCTTGGTGGGTTGACAGGCTGAAACTCCTGTTTAACAATAATCAAACTCTCGCCGCTATTTACGATGGCGTACCTGTGCACGAATTATGGCATTATTTCGAGCTTGAGAAAGATGATAATTGGCAAAATTCCTTGGAGATATTAAACGCTCTAGCTGACAGCGTCATAAAATGTAATGCAGAGCTGCAGCGCCTCAAGGATCTGATACTAAGTCACACGCTGTCCAATCTGGGTGTCTCATCTGTCACAAGAATGCTGCGGTATCTGTACCAAATCAAAGATATACATGTGCTGGCGCAAATAATATTGCACAACATTAAAAAGTGGCCTATGATTTTATGCGAGCACGCGTTAAGCCACGCGTTGCAGCACGAGCATAGTCACAAATTACCAGTGCACTGCAAGCATCGGATGAATGGCGTCTTGTGCAGAATAACGATCTTCCATAAAATGATTCCGTACTGCATAAGTAGGTCAAACAGCACGTGGTACGACATCGTATATTGTACAGAGAAGATCGATCCGTTTGAGATCATCAAGTCCCTGATCGATGCGGATCAGTTTGAGCTGTGTCTGGATTGGCTCGAGTGTCAAGCGTTTTCCTTAGAGATGCAAACACCTGTGATCCAAGATTTCTTGATGGGCCTTTTAAAAAACGAACAGCAAGATTTCAAGCAAGCTTTAAAGGTATATGTATACAATAATTCTATTATAAAACTCGTAATTGTTCTTGGAAATACTTGTCAGTGATTCTACAATAAATATTTTAGTTTCTTCAAGCGTTACCGTTGAGTCAGTCAGTAAAGATATGTAAAGGAGTCCTCAAGAAATTGGAATCGATCAGCGCATTGCAGTTTGTCGCCAACTATTTATTGGACCACTGCAGAGTAGTAGAGCAACCAAAGTATCGGAAAACTTTGGTGGGATTAGAAATTCTGAACGCATTGGAAAATAAGGACCGAGCATTGTACATCCATTTGATAAAAGAGCCATTATTGATGCTGGAGCAATTACTAATGAATAGCAAATTTGAAAATATCCAAAAGATTTTGAACACGCTGCACGAGGCTTTGCAGCATCCCGATATAGGCATTAACAATTTTGACAAAATTATAAGGTTCTACGCGAAAAAGTCGTTGGACTTTCGCGTATCGCTCCAACGTGACGGTACCGAAAACAAAGCACACAGAAATATCTCGCAACCTAATCTTGAGGCGGAAAATGACGAATTTATTATGCCCGTTAACGTGCCCACGAAGGAAGAATGGATCCCAAATGATAGGGTAACTCGAAAACATAACAGTGTTACTGATGTATACCTATATTATTATTTGTGTCAATATCTTTAAGGCAATATCCAAAATAAAAGTTTTCAGCTTCATCAAATTTATGCAACAAAATCGTTTGTTTAATAGGCGAGAGAATGCAATTGCTGCAAGGCTGTGATATTTTCAATGTTCAACAGACGACACCACTGTCGGAGATGCGGTCGTGTCGTTTGTGCCATGTGTTCCCAGCACCGCATGCAAGTCGCTGGTTATCCCAGTTCCATGCTGGTACGCGTGTGCGACGATTGCAAACATCAAACGGTATTGCAAATGCGTGCGGTGCAAAGTATCCCGTCGACATCCAGCAGCGAACTGTTTGATTATTGGCGATTGACGAGAGACGAGAGACAAAACGGCACCATAAGAGAGGAGTTTTCGTTCGAGTACGCGCCAAATATTTCGCTGTGCCTTGCTATACTTAATTTGCACTTCGATCCCAAGATATATACCAGGTAAAGTATCGGTATAACTTTTGTTTGTGTTTAATTTATAAGAAATAACTAAGAATATACCTTTTTACCGCACAGTTTTCTCTTGGACCGTTGCGATGAAATGAAGCGATTGCTCCAACCTGTTAGCGGCGGCAAGATAAATCCCGAGGTCGATCACGCGGTAATTATCAAGATGATACGTTCTTTGTTGGTCGCGGCCAAGATGAAATGCGCGAAATTTGGCTTCAATACCGGTCTTGCACACTGCGACCGGTTCCTATCGCAGGTGGATCTAATCGCAACCCTGATCCGATCCGATTGCGTGGCTCTTATACCGACTGACGACCTCGACGAGCACACGCTAAGAAAATTGCGCGACCTTCTCACCGAAAAGGAACGTTGGACATTGGCGTTGGACGTCAGTACAAAAGCAGGATTGGACACGCAGGGTGTATGGGCCGCCTGGGGGAAAGCATGTTTGAAGGTGGGACACATAGAACAGGCGAGAGAAAAGTTTCACCATTGCCTAGACAAAATTTTGCACGAGGATCTCGACGATTGGGTCATGCTATCTTATTCCAAAGAGCTGCTCGAAAACCCCAAGACTGAGTTAACGGAAACGACAACGTGCGCGCCGACCAGAGACGAGATATCGGATGAAGAAAGAAGGTCGTACAAAGGTGGCCACTCCAAGAGAAGTGAATATTCCAAGTGCCGGCCGCTGAAAGATCCGCCGTTGTTGACGGAAATCCTGCAAATATTAGACAACTTAAGCGTACACCGACCCAGAACACAGCAACCAAGTCCGCAACTCAAGTCCGATGCGGCGCAAGAAATCTTACAAACGCTCAACAGCTTGAAAGCTATTAGCCAAAACCAACAATTTAACGTTAAATATCTGATACCCGCTAATCAGACAGTGTACTATCAAGAAAGTCTGTACTATCTGTTAGCGTATGGAAGTTACGCCTCCATCTTACAGTTCTTTTTGAAGCACAAGGAGTTTGACAAGTGCCTGGCATACATTTTAGACAACGACATAGAGCACGATTTATTTCTCAATGGGGTTTACTTGTACTGTTTGAGGAACGGCCATGCCGAGAAACTTCACGACGCAATGAGGACGAGAGATCCCACCTTGGTCATTTGGAGGAAGTACCTGATATCCGTGTGTCATTTCATGGAGAGGAAGCAATATTGGCATACTTTATATCAGATACAGCTCTTTATGAGGGACTGTGTGAGAGCCTCGATGACATGCATCCGTTTTTATACTAACGAAGCGAACACTTATTCAGACTTGCACAACAAGGCGCATTTATTACAAGAAGCCCAGAAGCACTTGGAGTCGGAACTGCAGATGGAGAGCTTGACTAAGAGAAGGAGGAACGCAAGCTCGAGTCAGAGCAATTTGGCGATGGAGATGGAACCGTCGGAGATAGACAGGCACATAAACACTATATGTAGACAGACGGAAATTGTCAAGTTTCTAGCAAATTGCGAAAAGGAAGAAAGAGTCTCCACTGAATTTTTAAATCTCTTCCCGGATATTGACAGTGAGAACTCCCAGACACTTGAGCTACCCACGTTATTTGGCAACCAACAGCAGAAGATACATTTGGCCGTTTTAGCTATATTGTGCGGTCGTGATATTGGAGAAGGATTCGGCATAGCTTTCAGGATAATACAAGGTAGCGTTACAACATAAATTGGTGCAATTCATTATTAATGTACATATATAATTTTTTTTTATACAGAAATACAATAAATTTGTATTTCTGTATAAAGTATGCGCTGCTATAGACAAACTAGCGTTTCGTAACGTTATAACGTATGTCATTTTTTGTAGATTATAATCTTCCGCAGCAAAAGGTATATTCTTTAACTGGCCATGTGTTGGCTTTAAAAAATAACGTAGCCGCAATCGAGCAATTGATCAAATGTTGCCGCAGCTCCGGAGCACCTAACGCCCACGTCATTTCCGACCACGTGTTGGCACACTGTGTGAAATTATTGTTGACTCATTCGTACAGCGAACAGAATCCGATACTCAAAAATCATATAGATACTTTAATCAGGCTAATAATCGACACTGAGCTTAGAGTAAGATTCACTACAATTATATCAATGTGTAAACTCACGTATAAACACGTCAAAAAGACTTCTGATGTATATCGCAATACTATTCTTTTCCAGATAAATGCATACATTGAAAGTAAACAATTGAAGGCTGCGTATCTGCTTGCGGTCAAGCATTCTAGGGCACAAGACATAAGGAGAATCTTAAAAGAATCGGATAGACTCGGTCAAAGTGCAATTAAAGCGATATGCTTGAAGTGGCTACAACAAGAACCAAAAGGATAAACATCTGGAAGAAAAAGGAAGATAAGATATTATCACTGGCATATATTATAAACAGTATGTAAGGAAAGTTTTTATTGGGATACAATAAAATTTTTTGTATCCATTGCAAAAATTTCTGGGTATATGTGTATGCGTATGCGAGCGTTTATACATATATATTTTATACACACAGATTACAAGGGAATACAAGTTTCAATTTTCTTACATGTAGAATTAATCTAAAAAGATTTTGAAACTAAACTTCCTGTTCAAGAGCCTCCTTCCTCTCGTTTCATTAATTTATCGTAAAAAAGTTGTTGAAACTATATAATTATTACTAATTAGTTCATTGAAAATCATAAAATATTTCCTAATTTCTCTTAGAAAATTAATTACATGTGCCTTTCTTAAATCTAAAGTAATTCCTAATTCACATATTATTTTTACAGCCGTTTATGTTATATCTGTATATGAATACAAAATCTAATAACTGTAATTAACATGAAACTTGACTATAATGACAATGTTCAAGTATGAGGAGTATGAAATACAAAAAGAGAGGAATGTATAGAATAAGAAATACATTTCTAACATTGCAAAAGAGATAAGGAAAAGATGTACAATTTTGTAAATATTTGTACAATCGTCTTACTTATTTTGTCTTGGCAACTTTTAAGCCGATGCATATCACCTGAGTCCATTTCATAATGTATATTTTTCAAAATATTTTATGATGTCAATGGGAATTGAAGAGAATTCTTGTTGAAAGTAGCCCAAGTTACATTTCGACATATGAAGAATGTAATTATGCTGTGCAGACAATTTGATACACGATTACATTGCAATTTTCTTTACGGCACTTGTATTAAATAGCTCATATATATACATACATGTATATATATATATGTATACATGTATGTATACACATATGGGGAAATAAATATATAAATATAAAAAGACAAACTTTCCTCGAATTTATGTTGTAATTTTTAAGAAAAGCTGCAAATGTTATATTTCTATCTGGAATTTGTAAGTTGTAAAGCACAAGGTGCTCGCTTATTACTGTTTATCTTCCGTCAATGACGATAATCTTTCTTCATACTTTTCAGCAAACTTACTATCTGTATTCTTAATAGCTGCCAGCAAAGAATCTTTCTCGCATTGTGACCAATTGCTACTCCACTCTCTAAAGAGCTTAACGCGACACTGAAACAAACTTGGAGGCCTGTCAGACCCTTCGCAATCCAACTTCTCCATTCCAGCCACCAGTCCATTCACCAGCCCCGAAGGACCGCAATTCTCCAGTAACACGCCAAGAAAGTCGTTCCGCTGCATTTCGGACCATTCTTGAAACCATTCTATCATGTAACGCAGTTGAGCCTCGTTTGACAACATGGTAGACATGTTCTCGCTTAAAAAGAACAAATCAAATTTTATAGTGATGACATTTCACAGTTATTAACTTTAAAGAGAAACGATAGGAAAAAAAACATGTAGAAATTCAAGAGTATGAAAGCAGTTTTGCTGTACGCGTAATGAACATTTAGATGTTCGGATGGTCAAATCTTGGAGTCAAAGTGTCCGCTATTCGGCAAAATACCAGCGCAATGGAGATAAATATAGGATTGCAGATAGTGTAGGGCCGAACGAAATCTATCACTTTGTAACCACTTGTTTATTTGAGTGATTACGAGATCAGACAGGTTTCGTACCGTTGCTGTTAGCTGTCAGTTTACAATTTATATTACAAATAGCAGGTAGAACCTAATGAGCCCAATGCAAAGTTGCCGCAACACAAGCTACATAATATTAACATTTTCCTTATTTATGGATACGTGTATTTACATATTGCACACAACATAAATGCAATATACGTTTGGGTGCGAGCTCGCGCCTCTACATACGAACGTCACTACCTACAATTATATGCGTAAGGTGCACGCATTTCATAGCAATTAAATCGCGCTAAACACGGGTGCCGGCTGGCTGTGTTCCGTTTCACACGATGTCTCTGCAACTTGGCCCAGAGTCGTGAAAACAGAAGCAGCGAGCCGATACTAGCTCGCAACGAGCCTCGCTAGGTTATGAACGCCATTCGGGTGCAAGAGCGGCTGGATCCGAGAAACGAGCGGCCCGCCCGGGTGCGGGAAGCGATAGACTTGTGTGTCGCGACGACGAATTACCAAGTCGTGTCTCGGGGCCTCCGCCAGGCTGTGCGCCACGTCCGTCGTCGCTCGACGCTCAACGGCCCAGAAGACCAGAGACGGTTGTTCTCACGCAGGGAACACGCGTTATCGCGTTCTAGCCATTTGTCATCGCCAGCATCGCGGCAGATCTGATAAAAATGCTGTACACTCTGGAAATGACGCAAGTGGAAACGGGATTGTAATCACGGAACGGTATTCGAACACCTCGCCGGGGGGTATCGATGGTATTAATATTTATTAACAGAATATACAATTTAGGTCGACAACTTGCACTTTTTGGGGTTAGTCTCGCGTTCCGTCCTTTCTTCTTCCTCCTGCTCCTCCTCGGCGGAGTCAGATTCGATGTCCGACGAGGCCGATTGATCCTTCATTTCTGCGCAAATTTGCGAAAATCGAGCTGTAGATCACGCGGGGGAGAGAAATCGCGCGTGTATACAGACTTACCTCGCGCCCCGCCGGACACATCGCGCTGTTGAACTAGCGCGGTTAACAAATCGTTTACCACAGATTGCGTGTTCCGCAGATCCTCGATCAACGTCTTCAAATCGTTGCCGTCTGATCGGCAAGTCTCGTGCTCGTTTATACATTTTCCCTCGTCGTATATCCTCACTCGCACGCCAGCAGCATTCATCGCGCCCCGACGAAGTTTGAATTTCACTTGCGTGAACGCGCGCGTCTCTGCGCATCTCTGCGCAGTCTGCGTACTCGCAAGTCGCAGCTCGCACTGTACCTAGAGTCCCCAGCACGATCTTTAACATCATTGGTCATCGACAGAAAGCGCGCATAATATGGTTGCCATTTAATTGGTCGAGACAAAAAGTTTTAAATTTCCAGAAATTTTCCATTTTGCAGTCAATGAATACGTTTAGAGTTTTTTCGTATTAAATTTATATACGAGAGGCAGCAGTCTCTCTCTCTCTCTCTCTCGACATTTTATGAACGTATATAAATTTTATTACGAAAAAACGAAATAGAAGACATCCTCCACGTGCGCATATTATAGAAGAAACATTCTTACCATTTGTATATCTCTTCGCTTAACTTTGCCATGAAGAGCAGTTCAAAATAAAATGTCTCGAATTTGTTGAAATACCTCAAGGATATTATAAACCAGGATATAACGTCTCAATTTTTAGATACCTCTCGGATGTTTTAAGACGCAACAATCTAGGAAGAAATATATCAATTTTGGATATTAACAATTTTCCATTGTTTATTTTTCTCAATAATCTGCAGGCATACAATTATTTCGTTAAATTATTCCTCTCTTTCGTATTCACGTTTCTTACATATTTATTATTCGTATGTATTATTACATGCAAACTTGTAAATCATTTAAAAACTAAAAACGATTATAGATTCAGAATGTGAAACTGAAACATTAAAAATAATAATTTCTCAAACATTTGGATTCTTTTCATCAATTCAGATATCGATCTGATTTTCTTTTACATTCACTGATAAGGTGCACAAATCATTCATTAAGTCACTCATTTCTTTCATGTTCAGGAGCTTTATAATTTCTTCATACGTTTCTCGATGTGTCTTTAGATACCTTTTTTCGAAAAGAGGACAAAACGTAACGTTTAGAAAAGACGTAATATTGCCGGTAGTGAAATCAAAACACTTGTAATACGTCTAGAAAATGAAAGAAAGATTACTAATATCAATAATTTAAAAAATAATTTACAGCGTGACATTGAACATTTAAACTAATGCAATATGTATATTATAGTCATAAATACCTTGAACTTTTTGTTTAATGGGTCAACAGCAAGGGCTTTTAAAAAGTATTCTGCTGCATTTGGTAGATCATTACGAAGCGAATAATAAGCTATCGCAATCGCTAACAATATAGCTATTTTTCTTTCCTTTACCGATTGCTCGTACTTTTTCAACATTCGCAATAAATGCGGTAATGGTTCCAGCTCTCCTACTTCCCAGCCATATTGTATATAGCAAAGCTCTGCTACAAAGTTATTACATTCAGCAGCCTTTTTGAAATACTTTAAGGCTTCCTATAAAAAAAAGAAAAATGCAAACTCATACCTTATGTCTCTTTTAAACATAGTAATTGCTTATACTGACCCTATAATCTCCACTCTGCTCGTACAACATTGCACTGTAATGCAGATACGTAGAATTATTTGGCGCTATCTTATTTACAGCGTCAAGACATTCTTTTGCCGATTGTCTCTCATCCGAATGTGCACGTAGAAACATGAGAGCTAGTTTTACGAGCACTTTGAAATTGCTAGGTTTTGATTTCAAAATATCCTTCGCAATCTTGATTACTTCTCTTTCATTCGCAACCTTCTTTTCCATATAACTTCTTTCTTTATTAAACTTGTAAAAGCTTTCCATTCGCATTTGTAAAAAATATATTCCGAATATGTGATTTTTTGATATTGCATATGCTATTTCGAAATGTTTTCTTTCGATATCCGATACGTCGGATGAAACATTTATCAAACGTCTTTGACGTCTAAGATTCATGGCAAGATTAAAGTGCCACAACGCACAATCTTGATTCTTTTCCACTGCTTTCCTAGCTATGGCAACTGCTTTGTCCATCCCATGATCTTTCAAGCAAGACCATACAACACTCTGGCAACCGTACAAGGCACCCAATTCAACATCGGTAAAATCTTCAACATCTACGATATTAGGTGAAATTTCTTCTACTCCATCTATGTTATCAGTTTCGTACAAGAAAAAACACTTTGTAGCGTAAAAAACATGTTCAATTGCTCGTATTATTCGATGAAATTCTTTCCTGTAATTATATAATTAACATATATAATTATACATGTAATAACATGGAAACTAAGGAGCTTGAAATAAACAAGTATTGGATATATCCATACTCTTGTTGAACCTCCATTAAGATCTCTTCAGCTTTTTCAATTCTTGTTGTTGCTTCAGCGTTATCTGCGCTCGACACAGCTTTGTAACATTGGAACAAAGTTCTCAATAAACGTTCTAAACAATGGGTTGTTTCATCATTTATTATTTGATCGGTGGGGTCGATTACTTCGCCGCTTTTACCATTTGTCATACTATGTTTAATCATACTGTCAAGTATTTCCCAAGTAAATGGGCAATGTAACTTTGACAGCTTTGCCTTTACGCTCATCTCCTCTTGTCCGTCGGCCATGTCCTTCATACAAAATACAAAATTAATTAATCGCTAGTTAATAAGATAAAACTGAGGGGAAAATCGCTGACCAAAATCTTGTTCACCAATGCCCACTAATGCCCAGTGAACATTACTTTATCTTATTTATCTTGTTTTATCTTATCTTTATAATGTCCCAGCAAGGTCTAATGCTCCAAAAAATGCCTAGTAATGCCTAGTAATGCGACAAATCTGTACACTACAATGCCCTCAGCGGTTTCCCCCTCGGATAAAACTGAAGAGATACGCTCTTCAAGATCTATATAGATTGAAAATTGAATTAGTTCCAAGTGTAGGAAGCACAAAACAGCCTTACAGCTGATACATCAAGGCCTGTCCTACAATACGTGGTATGTCGCTGTCGGGACGTCACAATTCTGACGATCAATGATCCAACGAGAAAACTTCTTTCCAATTTCTTTGCTACGTTCCGACATCCGACGGCGACATACGACGTATTGTAGAACAGGCCTGACAGTTGGAGATAAAATTAGATAAAAAAATTAAGCACAATACTTATTACGCAGTAGCAGTGTAGACATACGTACCTTTCCTTTTCTTTGATTGTCAATATCAAGTACTTCGACTGTCAATTATGAACTTGCGTTACGTGCGGTACGACGGAGCATCAGCATTTGCATACACGTAGAAACAAACGTCTCGTTTCACAGTTCATTTGTTAAAACAATTACATACTAACGAGATTCCGCGCGAAACACTGAGGTGGAGACTCTAGGAACCCTGACTCAAACGCTGATGCAACTAATAATGCTGACCCCGTACGTTGATGAAATTGGGAATCCCCCATTTATATGGATACCAACAGAGAGAAATCTGAGAGCGGCCACGCCTGCATTTTACTTGATACCGTTTCAGGAGACGGTTTTGCGCGCCCTTACGCACTTTCTGACTCTGCCGATAAACTTTCCACTTGGTGCATGTCTGTGCTATGCATTCTGACGTCTCATTTATATAAAATTTACATTGTCTATATGAAAAAAGTTGACGTAAATATGCAGATGATTTATGTTAATGCAAGTTTGAATTTTACAGCAAAAACCTTGAAAAATAAGCGTAGCATGGACACGCACAAAGTGGTGACTTTATCGGCAGTGTCAGAAGAAAGCCGCGCAAAACAGTCTCTTGAAACGGTATCAAGTAAAACGCCGGCGTGGCAGCTCTCAGGTTTCTCTCATACCGACCTATGTATCTGCGTAAAGGCCTGTGTCCACGATGCTAGAACTTGGTCCAAGTTCTAGTTCCGAGAAATGTGTGGCCAATCAACTTGCAGCTATTCCATAAAGCCCAATGTCCACGATGCTAGAACTTGGTCCAAGTTCTAGTTTCGAGAAATCTGTAGCCAATCACCGTGCAGCTATTCCATAAAAGCTGCAAGGTGATTGGCTACGCATTTCTCGGAACTAGAACTTGGACACAGTTCTTGGATCGTGGACACAATTAAGGCTTTAAAGCTGCAAGTTCATTGGCTACACATTTCTCGGAACTGGAACTTGGATCAAGTTTTAGCACCGTGGACACAGGCCTTTAAGCCCAATATCCACGATGCTAGAACTTGGTCCACGTTCTAGTTTCGAGAAATCTGTAGCCAATCAACGTGCAGCTATCCCATAAAAGCTGCAAGTTGATTGGCTACACGCTTCTCGAAACTAGAACTTGGACCAAGTTCTAGCATCGTGGACATTGGCCTTAAGAAAATGTACACTAGTGTAACTTAACATGAAGACGACGGGGCATCTTATTACAACTTTGAGAATGTTGTCCAAATTACAATATTTTTAGTAAGATACATTATATATATAATTTAAGAGCTCCATTATATTACTTATTTTATTACTCTAATGCGTGCGTGTCTCACAAATGTAAGCATTACAAAGAGCAGAGTGTGTTAAAATGGACAAAATGGATGAATAATTGAAATGAGCAGAAATGTGAGATTTTAGCTTTGTCAAAAAACATTGCTCTTTTTGTACGCAGGTTGAGTATACGCACTATAATTGACAAACAGTCGTCACCCAAGCTCTCCACATCTGAAGGGAACCTTTCAAAGAATATATTTCGTGGAATGACGTGCATTTCAGAACATGTATATATATATGTATATACTCGTCCTCATTTTATTGCACTTTTCGAAAACTTATATGTGAACTACTACATACATATATCAATCATATAGATGCAACACGCACTGACTCATCGATTCAAAACTCTATCGTTTTGACGTTCTAGATTAATGTAGCTTAATCTCTTCTAGACTAGTTTTTGTACAAATTAAATATAAATATAAATTTTGTCTCGTTTTACGTATTCTGAATTTTTTTGCTATCTATAAACCAAATTTACATTAAACATTTTCGGTAAAGAATATTTTGATTGTTATATTATTATAATGAAAGCTAGACTTTTGTGTTAAAAATATTTAAAATGCTTCCATACATAGAGAAATATGCATATAGTTTTTATTAAATATTTTTAATAGAAGTATACATTACTATTATAATTACGTAAGAAATATTTCGTATGTTTTACTAAAAATTAATTTTCTCACAGTTAAATGGGATCTATGGTTTATGAAAAAGACATTTTGAATTTATACTTTTGATTTGGAAAAGATAAATTTTTACCTTTTATGCATATAGCGATTCACCGAAACCACTTTCTCCTCATGCGTCACATGGTTCAACAGCTTGCGTCATTCATGCACTATTACCTCATAAACGATTTTCGAAGGCTACACTGTAGTGATTTCTTTTCATGATTTGTTTTACAGAACAAGCGTTGAAAGAATGAAATTTGAGAAAGGAAAAAATTTTTAAGTATCTATAAATATAGTATTTCCATCGCCAAAATCTCATATCACTGAATTATAATTCGATGTCGTAGACTTTATAGATTTTATATGAAAAAAGTCAATATCATGCAATATAAAATATTTTGAAACATTTTTTAAGAATAAGAGATTTCGCACTGTTTACAGGATTGTATCAAGTTTCTTTCGACGTAATTGTAATAAAGTGGGTCAAAGACTCGACAAGCCAGGCATTCTGATGACTTATAATTAGACAAAAGATTCTGACGTGACATACACACAAAAAGATTGTATATTAGGTTTCATAAGGTGACTAAAATTCGAGATAGTATTATATTATAATTATTATATTAGTTTAAATTATTTTCGACGTCATAGATTTCATCGAGAGAAATTTCATTACGTTATTATGTCTAGGTTACCGACGATTCAGTTGTAACAGGACTATCAATCATTGAAATTGATTATCAATCATTGAAATCAATATATGTCTTAGATGTGGAATAAGCGCGGCAACCGTTGGTCTCAAAATGTTGGCAGAGCAGAAATTTTCGTATTATATACTCGTGCATATACTCGAGAGGCAATTGGAATGTTCGGGATGTTGTGCGACAAGAGGCCCCTCCGTTCGAGGCCTCCATCCTCCATCCTCCATCTTCCACTCGACTATATAAAAGCTAGCCGCCGCTGAAGGTACGCTTTAGTTTTTCAGTCTTGCCTGCGGCGTCAAGAGCTGAAAAAGAAATTGTTCTTCTCTCGTACTCGGCGATTTTTATCAATCATTATGACGAAGGGATATCTTCTCGTCTTATTGATCTCGCTGGTGGCTTTGGTGGTCGCCGACGAAAAGTATACCAGAAAATACGACGACGTGAACGTGGATAAGATCCTCCAAAATAATCGTGTTCTCACTAGTTACATTCGGTGCCTGATGGACGAGGGACCTTGCACTGCCGAAGGTCGCGAGCTAAAAAGTAAGTTGGAAACAGGAGAAATCATAAGAAATAGGAGACGCGAGCCGAGAATACACAGGGATCAATCAATTTAAGCTTATTAAAAGCTATACGTATAACGGCCCTCTGTTGTTACTTCTCTACTTGCTGAATAAAATTGGCTTACATTACCTTTTCCAACCGGAAAATACTTGGACGGACCGAAGGCAGTAGTTGCAATTGTAGCTATATGTAATTACGGCAGGCAATTCGACATTTACTCTCTCTCTGTTACATAATTATCGCTGTGAACTTTCTCGCGCGTATTACATCCGGGCTTGCTTTTGAATTTACATAACGGTAATATGTAAAGCTTGTGTTTACGTAAACTTTATGTTCTAAGGTTTACATAAGGCTTGGTCTACAATGAGTTGTTAGTCAGAAGTCAGAACTATATGTCGGTCCTCTTTCTTCCACCTAGAAAGGAAAAGGAGCGACATATACTTTGATATACTTCCGACTTCTAACAACCAACAACTCGGTCTAGACCGGGCCTAAGATTTAACGTTAATTCAATAATTTAAAAAGACACAAGTAGTGCAGTATGATCTACGATGCTCTACGATCGAATATTACACATTATGGCAGTGTCTAATATATTTCTGCAAGAATATTTTTATAAAACTATCGTTTTCCATCAGAGTTGTGATACATTACTTCAACGATTACGATCAAGTGCGAATAAACTTTATGTTATCAATAAATGTTAAAGTTTTACATTTTTCGATGTAAATTTTATACGAATTTTGTAGAAATGTTCTTGCAAAAGTATGCTTAATGCCGCACAAAATGTATGCAGATGTATCTGTAAATATTTCAACTTTTAGCTGTTTAATTAATTAATCAATTGAAAGGACAAAACAATGTACGTTTTTATTTATAGAGACTCTGCCGGACGCTTTGTTGAGCGGTTGCGACAAATGCAGCGATAAACAGAAAGATATGGCGGAAAAAGTGATAAATCATCTTAAAACAAAACGATCGAGAGACTGGGATCGTCTCGTCGCAAAGTACGATCCCCAGAGCGAATACAAAAAGCGCTACGAGAAATCATAATTTCTCACAAGTATTTTAATGCTATTTCTACATTTTTACACGAGAAACAAGAATCATTATACTATATATATATATATCATAAAATATACAGTATCGTGAAATGTGTTCAACATTTATACGGTCGATATTCGCGAACAAATGCACAATGATGCAACCGAATGGAATTCAGTCGATATAAGAAAAAAATTAAATTTTACTTACTGAATCAGCATTTTCTGTAACACGTGCAGTTACAGAATGCGCAATCATTCAGTGTCATTGTTTGTTCCAAATAAAACAACGATGTTTTCGTTCACAAGGATTTGCAAAGAATGTATTTGGCAATAAGTATACACATGGTTATCAATCATAAAATGCAATCGGAAAAAGATACATCCAGAAGAAATATCCATGAGTAATCGTTTCTTCGAGCAGTAAATTTTTTCACTCAACGCGTCTCTTTTTAACCAACGATCCAAGCTGAAACATACAAATATGTAGACGTATAAAATCTACACACACACACACACGTACACAATTTATTTTTAATATACTCAAGTACCATACATATATGTATATGCATTTATTATACTCTGATAAACGTACGAGATCTGAAATCGCCGGTAGATTATTGGTTTGGTCAGTAACAGTAGGCTCTTGTTCACGAGTCTCTTTCTGCGTGGTCGCCTTTTTCATGTTTCTATGTTGCGGGAAAGTAGGCATGAGTTTTGGGTCGCACGCTACAACATATTAAACCGTTATCTACATCGGGAAGACAATCCAAGACAATTTAGCAATTTTAAATAACACTAACGTAAAGGAGCTTCCTTGAAATAGCTACTCTGTAAACATTCTTCGGCGGTTGCTCTCTTTTTTGGATCGTACATAAATAAGAAGTTCAATAATCTGAGACCAGCAGCGCTCAACCAGGGGAATCTTTGTTTCAAATTGTTATACGGCTGCTGTTTAAGTGTAAAATTCTGTAGCGCTGGCAACGAATTAAATTCTGGCCAAATAGCTTCGCTGGGTGTACCCAGTAAATCGACGATTAACTCCAATTGTGCGATCTCTGATCTACCAGGTAACAGGGGTCTGTGCCCCAATAATTCACCTGACAACAAAACAAGCAGTATTACACATAATGTATACGTTTATCAGCCTTATAACAATATTACGATAAAAACCAAACAAAATGATATTGTATTGCATAATTTATTATATTAATGTGTATTTCTCTTTTGATATCAATTAATAAATTTGAATAAAATTCTCTGCCCAGCGATTTCTTTTACCCAATATGCATCCAGCTGCCCACATATCGACGGATGTAGTCTGCGTCTTGGCTTGCAATAGCAATTCGGGCGCTCTGTACCACAGTGTCACCACTCTAGGAGTCATCGGCTTTAAAGGTAAACCAAACCATCTAGCCAGGCCAAAATCAGCGATCTTTACGCAACCTTTATCGGTCATGAGAAGATTAGAGACCTTCAAGTCTCTGTGAACGATGAAGTTGTGATGTAAATAACGTAGACCCTTGAGTACTTGCAACACTATACACTTGACCTGACTTTCTGAAAACGGTGCCTGCATGTTGTCCAGCAGGCTTGCTAAATCTTGCTCGCAATACTCCATCGCGAGAAATATACTCTCCAAGCTTCTGCCTACTACCACTTCTCTCAGATGTACGATGTTTTCATGTCGGCACGATAACAAAACCGATATTTCCCTGAGACCGCTTACCGGCAGACCATCTTTCTCGTGTTCCATCCTCACTTTCTTCAGTGCCACGACCTTATCGTTTTTGGTGTCTCTGGCACGATATACAATTCCATAAGTACCTTCTCCAATGCGATTCAGTTTCTCAAATTCTGAGACGAACCTGCACTTACCAAGCTGTAAGATACAAATGCAAACTTTGGAAATAAATTTCTTACCAATAATACACACATGCAACGTCGAATTTCTTACAATATCTTGCTCTGGTATCTCCATAGGTTTGCCAGTTAAAAAGGACGTTAACACTCCTTTTCTCGTAATTGGAGCCGAGGGGTCAGGCCCCGAATCGGACACCGCTTTCTTGTCGCTATCATTACGTTCCACGGACTTCTTTTCCAAACTTTCGTCTGAAAGGGAAGCGCACATTGTGAAGGAAACTTGTTGTGCTTTAGCAATCTATTGCTTTTCTCAAACTATGTAAAGTGTAAATATTAATCAGTCAATCTTATGCGTATTGTATTTAATATGAATTTGAAAATCGAAAGCTGCATTTCTGCCGTACCTTTTGTCATTTTGCCAAACTGCGCTAAATCGCACACACAGAATGATCGATCGTTTGATTCTCGATGATTGAAAAATCAAAGTTGGAATGAAAATTAATATTTGGTAATGACAAGTATATACCAACGCCGGTAATAACACGGACTATATAGAGGAATTCGTAACCCCAAACGTAAGACGTATAGATTAAACTCCGTAGCATAGACGTAACAAGAGTCTAGATTGCGCACTCAGATCCAGGGTTGGGCACGTAAAATACTCAATGGCCGCGTTCAGCAGGCACAACTGTTGAGTGAGCGCTCAGTATGATTGGTTAATACTTTTAGATCCAGCCAATTATATTAAGAAATCGTTGAGCGCTCACTCAACAGTTGTGTCTGCTGAACGCGGCCA